CTGTTTTTGTGCCTACCAAAAATGAAATAAAAAGGCTGTAAAAAGTGTTATGTTAAAAAAAACAACGAGAAAAGCTTCCTGAAATGTGTGCAAAAAATTGCCAAAAACGCCCGATGTATCAAATGTGCTACAAAAAAATATCATAAACAACATGATATGAGAAAAACATTTTGGGGGATTTTGTTTAAGGGTTTAATAAACATCTCAATTCCAAAAGAATAGAATTTCCTGGTTATTTTTTCATGTGTCAGGCTTTACAGGGTTAAGATGTATTTTTCCCCAATTATATCCTTTCATATGCAACACCAAACCACTCCCTGCCTAGATTACAAGTTAAAGAGTGTTTAGGTTCTGTAATAATCCTGCCTGCAGTTCCAATTAGTTTGTGATTGAAATACAGATGTGCAAAAGAAATGCAGACGTGATAGAATTGCTTAGCTTGAAACATAATTGATGGATAAATGGGGGATGAGTTCAATTTCAGAAGGAGAATTCACCAAATCAGCAGGAGAAACTCACCGCGTGTACTAGAAGTTTGTTATGTAGCCACCTCTGATTCGTTTTAGTGACTGCTGGGAGATCCCAAGACAGGGAAAGATCTGACACTGTGTCCTTTGTTCCTGAGTAAGTTCTTCAAGTTCAAGCTACAGTTTGGATCATAAAAGGTATTACACCTGTCCAGGAATTTTGCAAGGCAAAGGTTTTTTTGTTTGTGTGTTACATACCATTGTTATAATACTCCTGATGTGCAGATCAGGACAGTCCTCGACAACAATTGTTGCCATTTCAGGGTCCCCATTGAACAGTACATGAATAACAGCAGGACTTAATCCGGTGACATGGGGGCCATCATGCAAAAAGGAGTGGGCTATCATCCTTCCTGCAACCCGGAAGAGGTTGCTCTCAATAAGCACCTCTGATGCAGCTGGAACGAGATGGTCAGGCTCACCTTCAAATAGCAGAGTTTGGCCCACTCCTCCTGTAAGTACCAACAGAGCAGGGCTTCAAATCAAACAATTAACTTTTAAAATGCATGACATTAACCTGAATAGTAGCACATTTACCAAGATTCATTCTGAATCCAAACTGGAGTTTGGATATTATTGTTGTCAGAAAGTACCGCATCACTCCCTGTCCAACAGCAGCATCACCTATAAAACTTTTTTTTTTTTTTTTAAAAAATACTGTATACTGTTAATAACACACTAGAAACAAGCTGTAACAAGGCTATAGGTGCTTGACAAGTTTTAGGAAGGAAGGACAAACACATGAACTGTTATGCAGACAGCATGAACAGCCAATGCAGATTATCATATAATGATTAATATCAGCCAAATGACCTGATGGGACCAGTAAACACTAATACCATTCCATATAAGACATAGAATTGATATTAATGTAACAGGATATATTTATATTATGAACTCTATTCTACTAACCATCAAGGGTACAATGAAGTGGACATGCCCATTCCTGTTGCTGTTTATAGAATGAGAGAAGTGCCCGTTCCCTGTCCTCCTCACGCTCCCTTACATCCATTTTCAGTTTAAGAGGCTTCCCGGTTGCATGTTCACTTAGTAGATTATCTTTGAAAACTTGGGCAGCCAGAGTTGGTTCTTTAATAATCTTCCAGTCTAGACAAGAAGAAAAATAAATGTAACTACTTTGCATGTTAAATGCAGATAAACTCCCAATCAACAGAAAAGGAGGAACACCTGAAAAATGTGACAGAATCCAACAGCCTTTTAATAGATACTAGGAAAGTCCATTTCTACTTGACTTTCATCAGAATGATGCTTATTTGCTGTTTGAAGTCAACCAAGCTTCACTTAGATGTGGAGTCTGTGAACTGTATGAGGAAGTGTTTCTAAGGTTCTATAAAAGCAGTGATAATGGCATGTCTTCTAGTCGTTATTTATTATGGTTAAAAGGTGTTATTCTTCTATTGACTGAGTTCTAATCATGCACAATATTATAGCATTCCTACTGTGATGACACAAAGCATTGTCAAGTTCTTTAAGATCAATCTTCTCACTTTCAATCACTACTGGTTCTACTTCACTCTCTACAGATGTTTCAGGCCTCACTGGAACGCTGTCCCTGTCAGTGGGTGGCTCTCTATCATTCTCCTCACCACGGTCTCCCTCTCCTTCTCTATGTGTTTCCTGCATGGGGGTCCTTGAAGTTCAGAAAATGTTATAGTCATTTCCTCTCATCTGTGTGCACAAAAACTAAAAAGACATTTCTTATTGAAAAATGAATATGTAATTCTTATATATCTTTAACAAGTGCATAGCCATCCAGTTAGCTCGGTGCAGTTTCATTTCAGAGAAGGGAACCTCCTTCTGGACCAGAGGCATGTCCCGAGCTTTCCTAAGAACAACAAATCTGTTAAGTATTGATTAAAACTCCACAGTGCAATTTATTTGAACTATGTATCAAATGGTGACAGTGTAAATTTCCATACTGAATCAATGGGTAGGTCCTGTTGAAGTGGGCGTATGTCAATTGTAGCCTGTCCAATTGTTGGAGATGGATCTTTTAGATAGGTAAGGGTGTATCCTGTGCTGGGACATTGAAGAAGTCCAAGATTTCGACTGCGAGTAGATCCTGCAATTTTTAGAAACTCAAAGCCTCCCCTTCTTGCAGCTTTGGAAACACCTCCATCAGTTTGTTTGTTACAACCATGGGATCGTTGTCATTTCCTGTAAATATACATAATGCACATGAACTCAAATACAAAAGCTAAGCTGTGATAACAAATACACACAAGAAAATCACGTCATTAAAGTTTGAGTCTAATATGTAAAATAGGTGAACACAAATGGCGATAAAATGAAATTAAAAATACAACTCCTACTAATGTCAGGACTCAGTGCTTTGTCAAAGTTCTTGTTTCAGACGCACCTGAAAAGATCACCTTTGTTCTCCAAGTCCTGAAGCAAGAAGGTCTGCTTTAAGCTGAATGCTTGGAACTTTATCAGCCTTGTTGTTGTTGTTGTTGTTGTTGTTGTTGTTGTTGTTGTTGTTGTTGTATGGAGCAAACAGCCTTGCTACTTCGGCTGCAACACAGAGAAAATGTTACAGCTCCCATGATCGCCACTCAGCTAAAACATCCTTAAGTCCTGATAAATGTAATAAAGAAAGCAAACAACAACTAAAAAGAAAGAAGTGATAAAAGTCAACTTCAGGGCTGCTGACATGCTAACACCATTCTGCCGACTAGCTAGCTTCGTTTAGAAGCACATCTGGCTATCTTACCTACCTTGAACAGGTGTACGTGGTGTAGCGACAGGTATCTGCTGTACTGTGCTCCGGAGAGCTTTTGGACATCCTGCACTAACACTTTGCACCAATGGTGAGCTGATTGATCCGTCTTCACTTGTATCATCAGCAACTATTTTTTCGGCGACAAATGAAGAGCGTACCGAAACGAATATACGGATGAACACTGTCACTAACGTATCGGAGTGCATTCACTGCTTCAATCCATTATCTGGGATCGATCTGTCATGACTTGCTTTGCTGAGTAACCAATCAGATGTTAGAAACTTTGACGAGCAGCAGTGACAGATGAAATGATTTCATGATGCACTGCTGGTGTAGGGACCATGAAATGATAAAGTAAATAGTGAAATAATTAAATAAATAGTAAAATAATTAAATGTGGTTTTACATTAAATGAATTAACATTTTAAATAATTAATTAAACATTTCATTAATTAATGATGTGTTTCATAAATTATTTATTACCAATTTTAAATAATTAATGACACATTTAAATAATTATTTAATTATTTAATAACACATGCATTTAATTAATTAAATAATTATATATTTATTTACATATTTGTTGATTTATTTCCAATATTAAATAATTGATGACACATTTAATGATTTCATTAATTATATATTTATATATTTCATTTTGGCACTTTTAGTCCTCCATAGGTGAGCGTCCAACTTCCCTGAATGTTAAACTGTAGTTGCTTCTATCTTTGGTTTCCCGTCCGGTTAATGAAGTCTGCTTTACTTGTTTAATCGGTGGAATATGCGCACAGACATATCAGCACTTGTTCTGTTTAAACATCAGCAGGTCACTCACTGATAAGTCCCTGTCACTGTAATAACACCCTTTGTAATCTGCAGCGGCATTTCTCTTCGTCCCGCCCCGTCTTGTATCTCCATACAGCCGATATTATACCATAAATGATATACTATATTACTATATAGGCTACAGCATATGCTATATAGCCTATAGACAGTTTATGGGCCCACTATTGGTCCCCCCCTCTGCAATGACCCACAGGCTCCGCGCCTGGTTTTAACGTTTACTTTATTGGGAGATTATAACTCAAAATGCTCCGAACAGGAGACGTTTTCCTCTTTCTCACAGGCTCCATTTCTCCAAAAAAAGAGAACCAAAACTACAACTCCCAACAACCAACTAACGCAAACTCACGAGGAGACATGACAAGTGGGTTTCACTTCCTCTTATCCAAAACCGAAACACAAACAGATCAATGACGTAGACTCGAAGTGAGGAAAGAAAGAAATGTGCCTCCTACTCGACACACGCTTCAAAGCCTCGGTGTCAAACGTAACCTCACTAATCTGGACTTTTACCTGAAACTGAATCCACAAACCGGATAAGAGGTAAAAAAAAGAACAAAGAATACAGATTAAAGGAACTTTGAGTGACAGGGAGTGACTCCCAGCTGTTCGTCTCCTCGTCTTCAGCTTGAGATAAAATGGCGTCCAAGTTAGAGGAAGATCTGAGCTGTCCGGTCTGCCTCACATCTTTAAAGATCCAGTCATCCTGTCCTGCTGTCACAGCTTCTGTAGAGAGTGTGTGAAGGACTGCTGGAAGGAGAAGGAGAACAAGGAGTGTCCGGTTTGTAAGAGGAGACAGTCAAAGATTTCTTACCTCTAACTTTACTTTAAAGAACCTGTGTGAGAGTTTTGTGCAGGAGAGAGATCAGAGAGCTTCAGAGGATCTCTGCAGTCTGCACTCTGAGAAACTCAAACTCTTCTGTCTGGACCATCAGGAGCCGGTGTGTCTCGTCTGCAGAGATTCAGAAAAACACTCTGATCACAGATTCAGACCCATCGATGAAGCTGCTGGACAACACAAGAAGAAACTTCAGGAAACTCTGGAGCCGGTAAAGAAGAAGTTAAATGTTTTTAAAGAAGTTAAAGTGAAGTTTGATCAAACAGCAGAACACATTCAGGTCCAGGCCGACACACAGAGAGGCAGATTAAGGAGCAGTTTAAGAAGCTTCACCAGTTTCTAGAAGAGGAAGAGGAGGCCAGGCTGTGTGCACTGAGGGAGGAAGAGGAGCAGAAGAGTCAGAGGATGAAGGAGGAGATGGAGGCTCTGAGCAGAGAGATAGCAGCTCTTTCACACACAGTCAGAGACACAGAGGACGAGCTGAGAGCTGAAGACGTCTCATTCCTGAAAAACTACAAGGCTGCAGTGGAAAGAGTCCAGCAGCGCCCCCTGCTGGAGGATCCACAGCTGCCCTCAGGAGCTCTGATAGACCAGGCCAAACACCTGGGCAACCTGAGCTTCAACATCTGGAACAAGATGAAGGACATGGTCTCCTACAGTCCGGTCATTCTGGACCCAAACACTGCTCATCCAGCTCATCCTGTCTGAAGATCTGACCTGTGTGACACGAGGAGAGAGACAGCAGCTTCCTGATAATCCAGAGAGGTTTGATACTTACGCTCTGTCCTGGGCTCTGAGGGCTTTAACTCAGGGACTCACAGCTGGGACGTCCAGGTTGGAGACAGTACATCTGGTTACTGGGTGTGTTAGCAGAGTCTGGACAGAGGAAGGGAAAGAAAGAGTCTGGATTATGGTCAATATGGTTCATAGATGGTAAATACAGAGCATACACCCCACCACATCCATCCACTGATCTCTCAGTGAAGAAGAAGCCTCAGAGGATCAGAGTGAATCTGGACTGTAACAGAGGAGAGCTGTCCTTCTCTGATCCTGATACTAACACACACATACACACCCACACACACACTTTCACTGAGAGGATGTTTCCATACATTAACTGGTGATAAACTCCCACTGAAGATGTTACCAGAGAAGATCTCTGTGACTGTGTCGTCCTGATGTCTCTGGTTGTCTTTATGACAGAGCTCAGATCTGTTTGGTGTAACTCAGGGACTCACAGCTGGGACACTGTGGGGGGGTAGAGTCTGTCCCTGTTCTCTGAGTGAAGAAGAGGCTGCAGAGGATCACAGTGAGTCTGACACCAACACACACTTTCACTGAGAAACAGTTTGCATGCATCAGAACTGAGAGAAGAACTCCCACTGAGGACTTAACCACTGAATCTCTGTGACTGTAGATTTAAAAAAACATCTTGATGATTAGAATCAAATTTCACTCATTTTTCTTAAGCGATATTTGAACACCTTAACAATCAATGATCCATTAATGATGAATAATTAATGAGCCATAAAAAGCTCGTCTTCTTCTCAGTTTATGTTTTGTTGAAGTTATTTTAAACATGAATTCATTAAATACAATCAGTTTGAAATAATTAAACTACGAGGCTCTCTCTTAAAAACAACGTATTGTCATGATTTGGTCTTATGTAGTTTGTATTTTCAGTTTGTCTCCTAGCTTAGTTTCTAGTGTTTTTATTTTGTATTTCCTATACCTGTGTTTCTTTGTTCTAGTGTGTTTTCTTGGTAATGTTTCATTCTTGAGTTCTGATCTCATTCATCTGGCGAAGGCTGCGTTCCATCATTCTTGTAATTCTGCTTTAATCAAACTGGGTGCCTTTTCATCAACTTGTTCATTGGTAGTTTGTTTGTGTGTTTTACTCTGACTTTGATTATCGACCATGTAAAAAAAATTAACATAATTAAAAGAAAACAGTCAACAATCTGTCATCTGTCATTTATACATAACCTGTGGTTGAAATATGATTAGCATGCTAATATTAGTAGTAATTTATTTCATTACATTATGAAATATACTATTAACATTGTAGTATACTTTTTAAGCATTCAGGTTTAATTTTTACACAGCTATGAATAATATGTAATAAGAGAGCCAGCACAGGACCCTGTAACTGCAGCAGCTTGTCCACATGTGGCACATGCATCGTACAGTCAGAAAAGCAGGAACATCTGAGGTGGTAAGACACATAAATATCACAATATGTCATTTTTGTCATTGGTTCATGCACACAATGTGGCATGAAGGAGACAAGCTGCCAACAGGAGAAACATTCTGGCTATCCTATTACAAAATGAAGACCATGTAAA